GTGGGTTTCCTGCCCCTCTCCTTGTGAAAGTCAGGCTCTGCTCTGTATCAGTGTAGGATTCTGGATTTGAAAGGTTTCCTGCCCTCACCCCTCCAGTGACTTAGTGCAGGCTTTCTATAGCATCCTGCCCCCTGCCCCCCGCCCCCCATCAGGATAAACCAAGTTTTCCCTGGGCAGGCACTGTGGATCTGACAATTTCTTACCCTTCCCTCAAGAACAGATGACTTCTGCTTCATGTCATTCAGTGTCCTGTCCAAGGTGCGGAGTGTCTCTTGCCTTTTCCCCAGCAGCAGCTGACTGACTGTTCATATCAGAGAGGGTCCAGGGCTCTGCAGGTTTTATGCCTGTCCACTATAGCAGGCGACCACTATCTGACACTCATGCAGGGCTCGGAATGTGGATGGAACACCTGCTCCACACTCAAAACTTTGTAGGTCCTGCATAAGCCTGCACCAGCCGAGGGCTTTCTCAGGTCTCCTGCCCACCCCCACTCTTTCTCGTAAGCAAGGAGCTGTTTAGGGAAAGCAGATTCTCCTTGTGTAGGGGTTCCCAGGAATACTACAAACTTATCATGCTGGCCTGTAATCAGGCCTCACAAATTTGCTATAATTTTAGACCTTTTCCTCTTGCCCACTCTGATGGCAACATCTCTTACTTTCCCAAGAGGGAAGAGTTCATGTGCCCCCTCTTTTCTCAGAGGGGCTCACCCCCCTTTGGAAGTCTGTTCACCTCAGGGTCAGCTCAGGTGAGGAATTCAGCCTCTGAGGGACTCAGAAAAAATTATTATATTTTTTAGTTTGGGCAGCTTTTCCCCGCATATGGTGGGAGCAACATTCTTTGCAGTTTTCCTCATCTTAATGAGAAGCAGATCTCCTGCTTCTTTTTTAAGAAACGTTCAAACAATTTTAACATGCCCTGCAAAACCCTGCACGGTCCTATTTGCTTATCTGTCCAGCCAAATCTTGTCTCACTCTCCCCTCCTTCATTCACTACGCTCCAGCAACAGGGATCTCTCAGTTCCTCAGAGGTGCCAGGTTTTTCCCATTCCCCAGAGCCTTTGCACACACCGTTTGCTTAGCCTGGAGTGTTCTTCTCCATGTCCATACCTCCTGAACTCCAGCTCCTCCAGAGATCCTTTCTTTCTCCCACACCCCTTACCCAAATTGGTACATAAATTACGTCCTCATTCTTTTTCACAGATGGACAAATGGTCTTGAGTCAGTCCCCAAGGGTGGTTAGACTATTTCCAGTCCTTTTTTTTTTTTAAACAATTAATAATCTTGTACATAAAGCCTATCTGGGCTAAATTCCTAGAAGAATTGCTGGATTAAGTGGTACATAGAGAGTCAGGATAGTGCTTAAGAGTCTGGGCTCTACTACCTGCCAGCTGTGTAACTTGGGCAAATGATTTCACCTTTCTGTGCCTCAGTTTCCTCATTTGCAAATGGGAATAATAGCAATGCCTCTCTTAAAATTGCCCTAAGAGGCTAGTACATGTAGAGTGCTTGGAGCAATGTCTAGCACATAACCACTCAATAAATATGTGCTGTTATTATTTTAGCATGTAAGATTTTACATAGATATTGACAAGTTCCCATAAGTATGTTATCGATTTATACTATCATCAGTACAAGAATGACTGTCTCTTCATACTCCTAACACAGTGTCTTATTAAACAACTTTTTAATCTTTGCTGACATTATATACATGGCATCTCATAAAAGTTTAATTTATATTTGTCTCATTAAGAGTGAAGTTAAGCGTATTTTCATGTGTTGAAGTGCATTTGTGTTTCCTGTGTCACGAATGGTTCACATGTTCCACAGATTTCTGTTTGTCATTGGCCTTGTTCCTAGTCATTTGTAGTTCTTTGTGTGTTAGTAACTGTAAGTTACTTTTCCACAGTATTCAACAATTTTCTACCATTGTACTTATTTCTGTTTTTAATGATGTCTTCATTTGTGATTATTTCTTAAAGCTCCATAGGTTCAAGATCAATGTTTATTTGTTCATGATCACATACTGAACACAAAGTAAAATACTGAACATATAATAAATGATCGATAAATATTTGATGAATGGGCCCAGTGTAACAAAGAGAATCTTGTTACCTAAATAGATTGGAAAATTGGAAGGAAACTAGTTTGTATGAAAACACGATGAGTTTAGTTTTGGATATGTTGAGTCTTAGGCGAGAGCTAAATATGTATGATACTCTTTCTTTGGCAAGATACTCGTGAAGATTTTGGAGTCATCCCCATGAAGTGGTTGATTGGAAACAGATGATCTCTGATGGAAAGAATGTTATGTGAGGGTGCATAGATGAACACTTTCCAATCAGAAACCATGCCAAGTCGTTATAGTTGTCATAAAAGTTTTAAAACAGATATGAAATGAAAAATAGAAACATTATATATTTACAAGTATAAAGCAAATTGGGAAATGGAGAAAAAAATTAATGCCTTGGAATAATAATGATTATTAAAAAGTATTTAGATCATGTTATAATTTTGCCCAAATCACTTATTGTGAAGAAATGCAATCATTTACCAATGGAAAACTGAGGCCATCAGAAGCATACAAGCTTCTGGAAATCAAAAGTCCTCTTTTTGTATAAAGTAAGCTATTTGGTTTATCAATATTATGTTTTTCAGTTCATAATTAGACAGCAATTGTGTTTTCTGCTACTGAATGATCACTGAGAGATTGCTACTATCCATTTAGTCTCCAATTCTATTTTTCAGATTATAGTAGCTGCATGGAAAAGAAGAAACCATTCACTCTTCTAAAAAGAAATGGTTATTTTTTCAAAACAGAGAGTTTATCCTAAAATAAACTGTATGTATTATTTAACCCACAGGAATATCTTTATGACTACAGTCATTCAATAACCATATTGACTAAAATGAATATGGACTAGTACTTTTAATAAATCTGTTGTGAGGTTATAGTCCTTGTTTAATAATTGGAACAAAATAATCAGGGAAGGAATCCTATTCTGATAGGGAATGTGTGGTACTCCAGTGTCAATCTTGATTTTTAAATGATGTTGTGGGTTAAAAGACACTAAAGTATACATTTTTATTCTCCTTTTCATGAAAAAAAATCTGTGACTTCAAAACTAGAGGTATGGATTTAAGCGTTGGACAAACAAATCATTTGAACAAAATCTGAGTCACATTAGAATGACTTTTTACTTTTAGCTGCCTTTGCCTTACTGACCAAATATTCTGATATTTCTGAGCCTTTATCAAGGCTCTTATGTACAGTCATGACATTCTTCCCTGCAGGCCAGGTGGCTGTGAATGATCAATAAAGTGACCTGTAACAAAAATGCAGAAGGTATGAAAAAAGAAAATAAATCTACTTGAACCGCTGCAGCATCACTGTGTTACAACCTGTCTGGCTGGGCGTGTGCTACTGGCAGGGACAGACACAGTGTCACTTCAAGGGGCTTGTAAGAAGCTAGTCATTTGCTTTATGCTGAATTCCCAGAAGTGCCTATTTTCTACTTTAAGTAGGAATATTTATTCACTAAGAGATAAGAGAAACTCCTAGGCAGCCTGAGTTAATCTACAAAGGAAATAGTTGCAGAATTTTTAGCCAAGGTCTTATTTTATATCGCTTATATTAATGGACTGGAAATAGATATAATTTAATAAAGCTTGTTTTGTTTTTCTTAATTATAAAAACAAGATCCTCAGAACTATTCTCAAAGAATATTCTTGGGGCACTTGGGTAGCTCAGTCAGTTGGGTGTCTGACTGTTGGTTTTGGCTTATGATCTCATGGTTCGTGGGATTGAGCCCCATGTCAGGTTCTGTGCTGACAGCCCAGAGCCTGCTTGGGATTCTCTCTCTCCCTGTCTTTCTGCTCCTTCCCCGCTCATGCACATGTGTTCTCTCTCTCAAAACAAATAAATAGAATATTCTTGAAGAAATGGAGTAAGGTTTTATTTTATTCAAATACTTATTTCTTGTGCCTTTTTCCTCTGTCTCATGCTGAGACTTGGGGGTGAAACCTAATGGTTTGTTTTGATAGCTCAGCTACTTTCCAAAGAAGTAGGCTACCTGAGCCATGGAGTCTGTTCTTAAGCACATTCGCGTATATTATACCCATCAGCAGAGCCATCAAGCCAGGATCAAAGGACTGACCCACAAGATCAGTTAAAATCCTTAGCCTTATGCAGGGATGGATGCAGCCGAGGTATAAAACCATGGTGTTCTAGAGGGGTACCAGTCATAGCTGGAATATAAGACAATGTGGCTACCTCAACATGGGCCTGTTCTCTTGATATGATGAGGACACAAATGTGCTCGTTTACAGAAATACAGCCAAATAATTTCCCGCTTACTTCAATCTGCATTTCTTTATAGCTCACTAACTCAATTCCATTACAGAAATGAAAGCTAAGTTTAGCAAATTGTTCGGCCGTTTATGTTTAATGCACAAAATCTTAATTAACCAAATAAAATGCCGCAATCCATTGTAAATCACTCTGCTCAACTTTCAGACTTCACGAGGAATTTGGTCTTGTCCAGAAGCCACTTTCAAGCCCCTGCTGATCTGGCACTCACGCACCAATTCCCTGTGGAGCTGAGTGAAAGAATGTAAAGGGAGCCAATTTAGGAAACTTTGAGCCAGAATAGACAAGCAGGGGCCATCTTGTCCATCCTTCTGCCTTCAGGCAAAAATCATCCCCTGCACCAAAAATTTGTGCTTGAATCCTGCTGACAAAAATGCTCACCCCATGTAAATGACAAGTCATAACCAGTTAATGCAACTAAAGCAGATTGTTAACTGTTCGAGACTTATTTATTGTGTTCTAAAGATGCTGAGTAGGAAAGCTCATCTGAATTGTTTTAATTCCTCCCTTCTAGAAAATTATTTTGTATGAGAAATGTACTCAAATAATTGTAAAGATGTGGGAAGTTTGCATCCAGGAAATAAAGTTATCTTTATCATCTTATTAAATGTATTTTTGGTTTCCTTTCACTGTAGGTCTACCTTATGGGTGGGAGGAAGCTTACACAGCAGATGGAATCAAGTACTTCATCAAGTAAGTACAAGCATCTCAACCAAGTAAGCAATTTTCTTCACATCTGGAGAGAACCTGGAAGTTGCAGAATAATCAGCAAAACCAAGAAACCCTCTTGGAGGTTACAAAAATTAGTAACAAGAAATGAAGCCTCACCATTTTCATTTCATGTGATTTAAATGCTAATATCAGATATCATTTGTGGGGGGAGAAACCTTAGTAATTATTTCAAGGGAAACAGCAAAAAGTTGGAACAGGATCATAATTTGAACTTAAATGTTGGCTGCCTGATTTCACTTCTGGCTAAAAGTATCAATACTTATGAAAAGTTAATATCTAATGAAAAAATCAACTTTGTAGGTCTTAAAAGTTAACAGTGATATCAATAATAATCAGCATTTTTAATGCTCTGCAGTGTACACAGTTCATTCATTGTGCAAATATATTTTGAGCATTTGCTCTATGCCGAGCAATGTTCTGTGCCTTGGAGATATAGTAGTAAAATATACAGGCTAGTTCTCTGACATCACGGAATTTACACAGTAGTGAGGAGAGACAGACAGTAAATAACTAAAGAGATAAATGAGGCATAATATGAACAAACTCTATCTCAGAGGATTCTTAGAAAATCTTTTGCAGTATGTGTGCCTTATTTTCTGTTTTATGGATGGAGAACATAAGAGCTTAGAGCAGTTGCCCAAAAATCCACAGCTACTGAATTACCAAACCAGAACAGAATCAAAGTCTTTCCACTGCATGGTTGTCAGCAATAAAGACCTGTCTTTGAGAGCCTCAAGAGTAACACATGTCCTAGCTGCTCGACTGGTTAGCTTTACCCTGGACAGAGCAGTCTGATCTACTTCCACTCTGTCCTGGGCAGCTCCCTCCATGTCAGAAGTGGTGCTATGAGAACACAAAGGGGAATCCCAAAGACTCGTGACACCTGCAAGGCTCCCTTTATTGTCCTTTTTAGCAATTTATTCTTATTGTGCACTTGGGGAGGAAAAGGGAGGGATGCCCTTGATATCCTTTCAGATGTGCAAGTATTTTCCAAAGCAGTATTCAGATTTTGATTCTCAAGTTCTGTGACTTTACACAGGTTCCTATATCGCTTTTCACCTCGGTTTTCTCATCATAAAGTAAGGGAAGTATTGCCTACTTACCAAAGTTGTTAAATGTGAAGCTCCTTGCATAGGACTTTGAACACAGTAGATGCTGAGTAGTCATTATTAATTTACAGTATGGAGAAACCCATAATTATTGGTGGGGAAAACCATGAAGAGTCATATGACTGTTGAAAACATTGAGAACTCAAAAGTTTCATACTTAAAAAGATTTGAGGAAAAAACTAGGAATACATTTGGCAAAGCATTTTTATATGATGTACTTTTTTTCTTGTGGTCTCTAGCAAAAAGTAAATAATAAAGCAAAAGCATAGTTTATAATGTGTGGAGAAAGGGACATTTGGAATAGAGGACCCAGGAGTCCCATGCGCAGATTACATTTAACACCATACTGCTCACTGCCAGAATCCTATCTCTTCTGGAAGGAAAGTTGCCCCCTGCTATGCTGGGTTAACTATGTTCAGTTCCTGGAAGATTTGAATCATAGTACTTGTAGAGGTGGCAGGAAAATGAAAACCACATTCACGTTTGCATTTGGTTTCCTTCTCATATTTACTTTGTAATGATTAAGGGGAAAGATGTAGAGGAGAGGGAAATGAGCATTTACTGAGCACAACCTTATGATGCTCAGGAGTCAGGCATATGTTGGGTGAATTTTTCTAAGCATTGCATCATTTAATTCTCCCAGCAGTGCAGAGAGTAGACACCACTTGGCTCTTATTAGGATGCTATTATGGTGGTGGTGAGTTGCATCCTGTCTTTTCAGCCATGCCTGTCCCCTAGAAAGTCCCCAAAAAGAAATGCCTAATCAAAGGAAGGCAAACTAGCATTCTTTATTAACTGGGGTTCTGGTTCAAAGGCCTTTGAAAAAAATATCAGTAAATGAGTCTGGACCTTGTGGGTACTCCTTAGCCTCAGCCAGCTGTCAGTATATCCTAACTCAAAGCTGAGTGTCAGAGCCTAACTAGTACCATATTAGGGAAGGATACTAAGGACACAGTCACTGATAAAGACAAGGAGGAAGCAAGAGTGTTTTTCATTGCCTGGTACCTGGCTGGCTTAAGCCACTGTGCCTTGGAGACTGGAACAATAGTCTCTTGCTATAAGAATGAGTACATGCAAGGAGAGGAGGAAAGAAAGAGTAAACAAGCCATTTGACTGCCTTGAGATCTAACTTACAGTCCTATGGAAGGACCAGAAAGAGACACTACATTTATATAGTCTACTCCAGCATAGAAAATATGTTCCTTTAACCTGTCCTCTGGAAGCCCATTGATTCTCTTCCTTGATCTTAATCTTGATTTATAAAGAAAGCATTAAAGAGATGATAACATAGGATTTGTTTCCCAGAGGACAATGGTGGGTATCCATGTCTCACTATTAGAGTTGGAGAAACTATATGGAAAAGAGACTAACTTCATCAAGGCCACACAGTAGTAAAATTGAAGAACCATGGTACGTAAAGCAACCCCCCAACACACACACCCCCATGCTTTACCACCTCCACCTCCTTATTTTAATGTAGTATGTTTCCATGTGACAAGAAAGATATTTTAAACAGATCTGGATTTAGGGAGAGCTCTATACTTTATCCATTTTTTTAAATAGCAGGACAGAAACTTAGTTCAAGGAATAAGTAGTTATCTCTTGGATATTAGAAAGGTCAGGTAGTAAAGATATGAAAGCCTAACAATATGCCAGTTCTTCTTTTACCCAGCCTCGGAATGGGCTGCGTGCCATGAGTTAGGTTTTGCTGCTGTAAATTAACCCCTTTCAAGCACCAACATGTATTTTAGCTTAACTATTCGTGAAAGTTTTCCTAGTAAGTGTTACATATTTCCTTGCCTTTTTATATTGAGAAGGACTTGGGTCCAAATGCTGGTGTCTCCACAGAATAGCTGAATAATCTTAGATATGCTTACTTAAGCTCTCTGGTCTCTAATTCTCCATATTTATGGAATAGTAAGAATATTAGCACTTCATAGGGTTCTTGTCCAGGATAAATGAGCTTATGTACGTGAAAAACCTATCATAGCACCTGACCCAAGGTACATACCAGCAAAATTAGCCCTCCTCACTCCCTCCCCTCACTCTTAACATTTTGATGAGAGGTTATCCTAGCTCTTAGCTGCTGTGTGCCGATAGGTGATGTTGCCACATAAGTAATGGCTGCGTAAGCAGGCATCCATTGTATGTCTTCCTTGGAACTATTTATTTAGCTTTTTTGTTTTATTTGTTTAATCTTCATCCTCTCACTTACCCCAGCTAAAACTGTGAGCCTGGATAACCTTAGCTTTGGGGGTAAAAGTAGTTCATTTACCAGGTAAATGTACTTTGGAGGTAAGAAATAACAACTAATGAATTCAGGCCATTACCTCTCTCACCTTTACTTAAAAAGAACAGTTGGAAATCACCCTTCCAGAACACGAGAGGAGATGATGGTCTGTGTACATACATAGAGTCTCTTCCCTGAAACTGACACCTGTCACTGTCTTCCCCAAAATTCAGTTGTTACATCTGATGGAAGCCAAGCCTCAGGCAAAGGAATAACTGTCAGTGCTGTCCCAAGAATGCCCAGACAAATATAGTCCTCATTGAATATTCCTATCCCTCCACATGGCCACTGCACACTTATTAATATTTCGTAGTCATCTACTTAAGTTCTGATGTAAGAGAAGAAAGCGTTTTACCGGTAGATACAAATTTAATCAAATGGTGGCATTGCTAGAGCTGGTGTTTCATAAAACTAACAAACCTGTGTGTTTGTATATATGTGTGTGTTTTCTATATACCAATATATGTATGCAATATGCATATAGGCAGGACTTGCCCATTTAGGGTGTGTGTGTGTGTATGTGTACATATATATATGTACATATATATATGTACACACACACATGCATACCAGCACAGTTCAAAGAAAAACTTTTGATTTTCTCCTTAGAAAGTGTCAGCATTCTTAAATTTAACGACAAAATGCCAGATATCTTGATGGTGCTATGATAAAATTATCTGATTAACTTAACTATTCTTCTAGTCAATTTCTTCCCTTTGAAAGTTGTACACTATTATAGATTTATAGTAGTCCTTCGATATGATTCCACTTTAAAATATATTGTAGAATTGAACAAAATTATTATGTTGGGAGTTATGTTTGATAGTAAAGCTGAATGTAATTATTACAAATTAGACATTGCTGCCACATTGCCTTCATTGTATTCTTTTCTTTACGGGAAAATTCAGATTCACTGTAATCAGTGATTATAATTGTATTAATTCTCTATTGCTGTGTGATAAATTTCTCCCAAAGTTTTCACCTTAAAACAGCAAATATTTATTTTCTCACCCAGTTTCAGAGGGTCAGGAATCCAGGTGTGGTTTTACTGGATCATTGGCTCTTTCTTTCTGGGTTTCTCATGAAGTTGTGATCAAGTGATTAGCCAAGGCTAGGGACTGAAGAGTGCCTTATGGGCCTGGGATACTTGTTCCAAGCTCACACGGGTGGCTGTTGGCAGGAGGCTAGTTTCTCACCACAGCATGGACCTTTCTCCAAAGGGCTGCACACAAGGCAGCTGGCTTCACCCTAAACAAGAGACAAGAGAAAGAGTGAGAACAAGAGAAACATGAAGACAAAAGCTACAATGCCTTTATGGCCCATCTCAAAAGTGAGTGACACACCTTCACTCCTGCCATATGCTATCTGTCGCACAGACTCACCCTGGTACAGCGTAGAAGAGCATGAACGCCAGAAAGTGAGGATCATTGGGACCTGTCTTAGAGGAGCCTACCACAGTGCTATTTCACAATATAATGTATGTAAACATATATTTTATATGTGTGTAGTCTATATATCTATACAAATAATGCAGAAATCTCAGTATTAGACACTTGCTTCAA